GATCTGGGCTGGATCCACCCCTTCAGTGTAGTGTACACCTGGATCTGGGCGGGATCCACCCTTTCAGCGTACACCTGGATCTGGGCGGGATCCACCCTTTCAGCGTACACCTGGATCTGGGCGGGATCCGCCCTTTCAGTGTACACCTGGATCTGGGCGGGATCCACCCTTTCAGCGTACACCTGGATCTGGGCTGGATCCCGCATCCGGTTGGATCCGCGCCTGGATTTTCATCCGGATCTAGCGCCAACGACCCAGTTTCAATTGGGTCAGTATAGTTCGGGCCCTTGAAAACTCGTGCTTGAGATCAAGCAGGACTCCTCACACGTAAAACGTCACTCCTATGCATAAACATTCACTCCTTCCTCCTAATCCACCCTGTGGATTCGTCTTCTCTTTCTTTACGATGTGACCAACTCATATCAGCGATCCTCCTCCTCCTGACCCACACCCTTCCTGTGGGTCCTTCTTCATCCTCCCATCGATATGACCAACTCACATTAATGGATCCCCTTCCTACTCTTCCTCATGAGACTACATCACGCCGAATCTGTTACGATTCGTACGATCCCGCAAGAAATCATAGAGTAATGCTCCACAGTTCAGATCTGCCTCGTCTACCCAACTGGGTTCGTCATATCCACGCCAATACACCAGAAATTCACGGTAAATCCGTCCGTATCTAGTTCGTTTCCCCGACCTCATATCGGTGATCTTCTCGACTTCGAACTCGTCGGCTTCGAGATCCACATTCCAACTATCTTCCGGTAGGAGGACCTCGTCGAAGTCGACGCGATCGGATCCATCCACCGAAAGACGGATCTGCGGCCGATCCGGATATTCTTTGACCAACTTCAGCTTGGATACGTGTACTACAGGGAACAGGCGATATTCGGTACCTGCCGTTTCCAGCCTTACCGCGTATTCTCCAATCTTCTCGCTCACCCGGAACGGTCCATGCCATAGATGGGCCAATTTGCGGGCGTACCCTTCTTTCACTCGATCCAAATAAAGCCACACCTACGTTCCCACTTGGATTTGATGTGGACGGGCGTCTTCGTTGTGTCGATCCGCTCGATCCTGTATCGCACTCCGCAGTCGTTCGTTCACCTGGGATCTAGCTTGCCGGTAGTATTTCTGGACTTGGTATCGCCATCGCCTTGGATCTCGGTTTCTCTTCTTGGTGCTGCATACTGGAATGGCCGCTTCCAGGGTGGATTTGGGATCCCACCCATGTACCAAGTAAAATGGGGTATCACCCCGGATCCTGTCTTGGGAGGTGTTCATCGCGAAGGGGAGCCGTTCTGCGTACTCATCCCATTCCTCTGATCCAAATCCTGGACATACATCTTGAGTGCTCTCGTGATCGTCTGTACCATGCGTTCGGCCGACCCAGTTAGCTTGGGGACGGTATGCCATGGATGCTCGCTGTCGCTGCCCCCGGATCCGGTTGAATGCTCGAAAGAAATCAGACATAAAGCCTGGCTTCCGATCATGTCTAATCATCTCGCTAGCTCCAAATCTTCGGAAAACGCACTCCTCGTACGATTCAGCAATGGTTTGCGCAGTTCTAGACGCACTAGCTTTGGCTATCACGTATCCGGTAAACAGGTCCACCCAAATCAACAATTCTGTGTTTCCTTTGAACGACTTGGGCAACGAGGGGATATGATCCATGGCTATGATTTGGAAAGGGTAAGTCGCTTGGACATTCCCAGGTGACTCCCCTTCGATTGTGGGCCTACCCTTGCCTGTCTCACAATCCACACATTCACCGACATATCGTTGCACGCTCTGGAATAGTCCCCTCCAGTGGAAACATTCCCGGATCCGTTGGTAGGTCCGACCAATACCTTGATGCGCGCCTTCTAAAATAGCGTGATAGTGATGTAGGACGTCCTGTTGTAAAGTTTCCGGCATCACCAGTCTCATCAATCCATCCCGATCCTCGTCGACTCTCTTCGTAGGGGGACAATAGAAGAGCAAGTCATTCAGATCCATTGCGTAATCCGTAGCGATAATACTGTAGGATTTGGTATCCTCCCGACTCAGGTTTCGTACATCCCCCATCAGATACTTCTTTAGTCCTAGGATCCACGCTTCCTCGTCCTGTGCTTTGAGGATCCGCTCAATGCGGACTCTCTTCACAAATGTTTCCTCGAGGATCTGGGGGCTGGATCCAATCCTTCCTCTGGACCTAGTAACGGCCATCACCTGGACTGTCCTTTTCCCGGATCCAACTACCACCACTTCGTCTAGTCGATTCAACGTAACGAGATCCTGTTGCTCGGCCTCTCTCTCCACCTCGACACCACATCGATTCCGTAAAGCGGCATTGGCCAAGCTATCTGCACTGGCATTCCAATCTCGCTTGACATGTACCAACTCGTAATTCATCCAACCACGCATGTGGACCATCACTTTCTGCCGTAACAGCGTTAGGGCCGGGGCTTTGCAGTCAATCTCACCTCGCACCTGTCTGATCACCAAGTTTGAATTTCCACAAATCACCAGTCGTTTTGGATCTTGTCCCTTTAGTAAATCCAAACCCAGAAGGAGCCCGTTATATTCCGCTTCATTGACGGTGAGGCCTTCCGCGTAAGTGGATCTGGCCCGTACAACTTCCCATCCGGGCAGTCTCCACAGTATTGCGCTGTATGCTCCTCCTCCGCGTCGTACGCGAGCGGATCCATCGAAACTCAGGACGTACAGATCCTCATCCACCTGTACCGTCGGGATCGGGATCTGGACCCGGCGTTTGGGCTCTTTCTTAGGAGCGATCCTAGTCAGCGCCTCATCCATTTTAGCTCGAGGAGTGATGCTCGCGGCCAAGACTCCCAGGATCTCGTCTTCCCCATTCGAACATTTCACAATCTCCAGCGTCCAAGGCGAGAGTAAAGCTGCCCACTGTCCCAAACGTCCTTGTAACCCGGCCGACTTGAACAGCCAGGCTAGCGTAGAGTGTCGAATCAGGATCCGGATGGATCTTCCCACTAGCAGGTTGTAATTCAGATCCAACACGCGCAGGAGCGCGAGTATCTCTTTCTCCACGCTCCATAGTTCAGTTCATTCGGCTTCAGTGTCCGGCTGACGAAGGTGACTGGATGACAGATCCCCTCATGTTCTTGTACCAGAGCCGCTGAGATTGCCCAGTCACTGGCATAAACTATCACCGTAGGTTGACGTTCCGGATCGAAATGACGGAGGATAGGCGTGGTCGCGATCCTGTTCCTCAGTTCCACGAATGCGTGTTGAGCTCGGATCCACCGAGATTCTGCCTTTTCCATGTTCCGATCCGTCGTTTCTATCCAGACTGGATCCTCTCTCCATTGGTCCCGGGGTAGATCCAGCTCCTGTTTTAAGTCCTCTTCTGTCGTCGTACCACTTGGATCCCTTCGTGGATCCGACATATCCCGGGCCAGAGCTTGTTGGATTTTTATCCGGACAGCTGGAGTGGTCATCGCGGCAAAATCTACCTCTCTCAATTCGTACAATACCGCGGCAAACAGGGCGTAATCCTCGATGAACCGACTGTAGTAGCGATGTAAGTCTTTATTATTGAGTTGGTTAGTAGAAGAAGTGGAGAAGCGGATGATGTTTTTTTGAGCGGGCTAATGCTAACGTTATTCTTTCGGTTTGTCAATCTGCGCCAGTGGCTCCGTCAGCGGCGACGTTGGTGGCGGTGAGAGCGCAGGCGGCGATGGCTGCAGCGATGTAAGTCTTTGGTTTTTTTAGCATCTTTTCGTCCATCCACTGAGCTAACTGGAGCAGATGCATGTGCAGCCGCCGTTGGATATACGTACCAGCAACATCTAGCTCAAGATTTTACGTAAACATGAAGGAAAATGACCCTTACCGTTAAAGTAACAAATTGTTGTTTGATTTGACAAACTGTACGTAACGATAAAGGAAATTGACCATACAGTTGGAATCAACATCAACGGCAATCTGCAATTTACAGTCATGGCAAAACGACGATATGCCAATGCAGCTGAAGATGAGTTATCTTGTACAGGAAAACCTGATGCAATTCAGGCCACTGCAGCGCAAGAAACAAAGCGTCAACGAAAAGCTCAGTACCGCAACGGGACCTCCGATGAAGCTTGAACCTGACGTGAAGAGACGCAAAACCAGCTAAGCGTTGGCAGATTTGGGTTGATACCAAATACATTGCCCAGCCTTTAATTCTACTTGCTATTGACAATTATGCTAACAACCGTATCAAAAAAAATTAGCCATCTTAATGTTAGCTTTCCGAACCTTTTTTGTCGAAGAATGTCTGGGATCACCTCCCAGTCGCAGAGGGTCCCCCCGCAGAGACAGCAAATGTCGACATATTTTTAAAAATATGTATTCCCAGTGTAAGTCGCAGACGATCTAGTTTTACGAGTACTAACGGGGCAACAAAAATTTGCTATCTAAACGTGCTAAGGCATTGAGGAAGGAGTCCGAGGTGTCTGGAACCACGAAAGTAGGTGAGCCCATGGGCGTCTCCAGACCGCTCTCCAGTATGGTGGAGCCGAGGGCGGATCGGTTAGAGCGCTGTGCGGGATGCGGCTGTTTTGGTCTTGTGCGAATATCTTCTTGCGTCGAGCGAGTCCTTCAGGCAACACTTCGTACACTGCCACGTGCATGTTAACCTGTGGGACCATGTAGTCACAAAGGTAATCGACAGAGTAATCTATTGGCAAGACGTCTTTGTTGGTCATCAACCAGTCGGCAATCCGCCGCGTGATGAGGATCTGTCCGCCAGCTCCAACGTCACTCACTTCGCTTGCAATCACCTCTGACGCTCCGGTGTACACAGTTTTACCCGTGACAGCATGACGACTATGGTGGAGATGTCCGTCGGAACCCATAGCATCGTGG